TCTAAACTAACACGAGTCTCATTAAGTGTCCAGTTTAAGGGTATTACACAGAAACATACCAAGGGAACATGAATCAAATATGCACCTTTATTCATTTACAATAAACTCATAAAGTACATCATTCTGATTGAAGCTAAGGGCATACAARACTGTCTAACACCTTGAAGGTTAGGGTTGATGAAAGAAGAATGGCTCGAAGGCAGGTCCTTATCAATCACCCTCAATCCCTCCTCAGTAGGTGTTCCAAGTTGGGTTTCTATTGGTGCAACACTAACAGTTTGAGCTATTAATGGTGCCTCAACCCTTATTGGTGCACCTGCGCTCAACCTCTGGCTATTCTCCCCGTTCGATATGTCCAACCCCTGTGTTTGCCGCTGGTTTTGGTCGGCTCCCCCCCTTTCTGAGTTCGTATCATCCTCCTGACCAGAATAAACCTGAATGGCTGGGAGTTTGCTACTCAGTTGGCTCTGAATTCGTTGCTCTGCTATCTGAAGGTTGAAGAAACGGTCCAGAACACAGTCCTCCATTTCTAGCACTGCATCAGCCTTTTGTTCAAACACACTTCCTATACTATTTGACTCGTCGGAGCTTTAATAATCTTCTTCTTCTTCTGAACTACACCAATCCATATCGCTGTCCTGTCTCCGCCCCTATCTCTTTCTGGAAAATCTTGGGTTTGGATGCCCCACTGAGCAGGTAGATCTGGGCATCCATTTCAGATCAACCCCTTTCTTGCTTTTGACTGCCATTTCAGAGGTTGGGGACAAAGGCAGACGAGGCCTGTGATCTCCCATCGACACACCCCTCAATCTCACATGACTACTAGCAGATCCTCATGCCGGCTGGCATTCCTCCGGTGCACCGGTTGATTGGACCTACCTCGGTTTGGTCTATTGTTTCCTTCCTCTCAGCTGATTGTTCTTGGGAACAAACCAGCCGCTTCTCCTTCTCAGGTGGGCCCCGCACACCCCATGACTTTCCTCCCAACTTAAGGACTTCCTTGTAAGAGTAAGATCCCGCCTTACTACAGGAATTATTTGACAAAAGCTCTCTTTCTGAGAAAAATCCCACCCTATCCTCCTTAATACATGACTCATTCTTCGTTGCCACACCCTCCACCTGTTTACTTACATGTCCATGTTCTCTTCCCCTAAAGCCTCCACATGTCACCCACCCTGCCACATCTTGTTCTTCTTCAACCTTTGATTTTCTACTCCAGAGCGTCACTTCCACTTCTGACGCTACCCACACTTTGCTCCAGAAACCTTAAGCAAAAATTTCGATCGATTGCGGTACTCTTTCCGGCTTGACACCTGCTATTCTTAATCGAGCTGCTCTCAGACCAGTTTTTTGAAGGAGACAAGCACCCCTCCCATGGCGATCGCTACCTTTTCAAGGATGGATTCCTGCCACAGATTGAATGGCAGTCCAAGCAGTTTCACTTGGAAGCAGCTGTCAACGAGAGTCAACGAGTTGCAAGAGGGGCACCAGTTATCGATCATAATCGATCCCTCTTTCGTTTCTATAGTCGTAAACTCCACCTCTGCATTCCCACATCTAGTACTGCCTTCTTATCGGAAAAGGGGATTGGAATAACCTTTCTTTTCAGGCCTAGCTTTTTCAACACCTCCTCCAAAATCAACTTCCAGTCCTTCACTTCATTCTTCGCTGATAATATTAGCTTTTGCTCCCAATCTCCTCTTTCCCCTTCCACCAAGATCTTTGGTATAGGCACAGAGAAAACAACCGACACAGCTTCATTCTTTTCTTCCTTTTCTTTGGTCTCCACTTTCTCCAATATTTCCCTCCAAACTTTCAAATCTTCTTTCCTTTTCATTGCATTTTCCTCCACTACAGGCTTCTTAGTTTGTTTCTGCGCTGCCTTGGTTCATTTTCTCCCCACAAACTGGTGAATCTCATTTGCTACCTTTATCCATCCCTCCAGATTCTTTCCCTCAGGTATGATGATTATTTGTATTTTTTCTTTCTTCAAATCTTTCTGTTAACATCATGTACCACCCTTTTGAGTTTCTCCTTCGTTCTGCAACATACTCTTTCCTTAATGTTTTGAAAGTATCTTTCCACCCCACAATCCAGCTCACATTGACGGCACCATCAAGAAAACTTTGAAACCACACCAGAGCTTCACCGACCAGAAACACCACCCCTCTTGATCTTTCTCTAATCTTCACCGTTAACTCCTGATGGAACATCTCTTTCAGTATCAGCTCTTTACTCTCCACCTTGATAGATCTTCTCCAGCTCCTTGCCGGTGCAAAACCCTCGCGATTCTTGTCTTCAGCTCTTTACTCTCCACCTTGATAGTTTTGGCGTATGATAGGTACAGTGTCTGCTGAAATTGGGTTCATGGTGGGTGGAAATGTGGAATGGGAGAAAGTAGGTAATGTAATTTATGGGTTTTGGACAGAAATAGGGTAGAAAATGGTCAAGATTTGATTTTCGAAGAAGATAGTATAAATTTAAAAGAGATTGATGGGTTTAAGATAGAGAAAGATGAAGTTTTAAAGGTGTCTCAATATGGGAGAATACCAGTTGTAAATGCAACCTTTATCAGCCCAAGGTGCTTTGTTTTTCCCCTGGTTATTATTAAGTTTAGTTATGCATTTGAAGCTCTTTTTTGCCATGTCATATTAATTTCTTTATTTTCAGAGATATCTGGTGGAGTTAATTTGCAGCTTCTTTGTTGCATCATGGACTGGGGTTGTCAAATATCATGGTCCACGGCCCAGCATGCGACCCAAGCAGGTGTGATAAGTTAACACCCTAGTTCTCATAGGTTCTTAATGTGAGTTAGTGTCTCTCTCATTGAAAGTCTGAGTAACTGTCAGTATTGTTACTTATATATGCTTATGTAACTGAATATCCACTTTCTGTCTTTAACAGGTTTTTGTGGCTAATCATACTTCTATGATAGATTTCATCATCTTAGAACAGATGACTGCATTTGCTGTTATTATGCAGAAGCATCCTGGATGGGTTGGTAGGTGCCTAAGGCCAATGTTCTATTCTCAGTATTCTTAGACATCTGCAGAAATTTCATGTTTATGTGGCAAATGCACTTAGTAGTGGCTGATAATTTCTCTTCTGCTGAAGGGGTCCATTTTTTTGGTGTCTGTTTGTGACTAATGTTTCTCTTTGGTTGGGTTTGTGTTCCTTGATAAGATAGGTTACGTGTAGGCCACCTAAAAAATTGAAAAGTGGATTTCCATTTGACTCAAGTGGATCACCGACCAATTTGTGTTGGGAGGATGCCAATTGAGGTAGATGAATTCTGGACTTGGGTTGGAGTGAAGGTTGAAGGATACAAAGGAGAGAGGTATGTTTCCTTTAGGTTGGGACTTGGGTTTCTTGATGAAACAAGCTAAAGAAAGGAAAACAATCTGGTTCGGTTATCTTCAGAGATATTTGTCCTAGTTTTCTGAGCGATTCAGCCAAGTTATTTGAGTCAATGGCTAGTAAGTCAACAATTAATTGAACCAGCTCTCAGACTTTCCCAATGGACTGCTGATCCCTGAGTTGACCAGGTATTGCTCAAAGTCTCCATTGGTGAGATGTGTTTCAAAAATTCTGCTAGGAAGATTGAAGAGAGTGGTCCGTATGGTGGTTCAGGTGGTTCTGAGCAGCCGGAGCCAGGAGATAAAGTATTTGATTTTGGGTTCAACTACAGATTTTGTTCCGATCTGTGAGGTGGTTCCACCTTTGATGCCAGATGCTTTGTGTCTTGATTTTGGCTCGGCTTCATCAGACTCATTGCTGAAGCAGGTGAGGGAGGATTCTGATTGCAGTCTAAGGAACGACTTTTGTGATGTGGAGGATAATGTTGTTATTCAGAGGAGTAACAAGAAGTGACTAGAAGAAGAAGTGATAGTTGGAAGGATTGGAGTTGATTTGGGAAGGAAAAGGTTGGTGCCTGACTGCAGCTTCTGGTGAAGGTTAGGTGGCTGCAAAGAAACCTAGAAGATCGGGTAAGTCCCATCTTGTGCATGTTACCAAAGTTTTCTTGAGGCTAAAAGAGAGACTTGTTGGGGCTGGTCCCAGTAATAAATATAAGAGATTTTTCATTAGAAGAAAGGCCAGTTCCAGTACCGTGAAGCATAAGGCTCTCGATGATGTTAGCTCTGGTGGCCAAAATAGCTGGGTTGGGAGTTTTGGTGAAGGGGAGTTGAAGAGAAATGAAGTCATAGAGGTGAAAAAAAAGGAAGGTATCTGTGAAGGTTTGGGGAATGGAGAGTTGAATAGTGGAAAGAAAGGATGAAGGACTGGACTTGAGGAAATTTGTGGAGAGGGCCGTGGAAATTGGAAAAGCTCTGGGTCTTATTTTCCTGGGCAGTGAGGCCTTTGCTAGAAGGGATTTCGAAGAGTTTGAGAAAAAGAAGGAAGAGAGTCATAACAGCATCATTCATGGGGAAGGGGGAGAGGTGTGGGATGAGGGAGAGGAACAGGTAGTGGTTCTGGATGTGGAGAACTAATGATGGGTGTTGGGAGGAGGTTTGCGAGCTTGTTATTCTTGTTATTTTGAGGAGGCTGGATATGTTGTTAGTAGAGTTTATTGGGGTTGGTTTGGAGATGTCTTCCTGAGTAAGGCTGCTATTGCTTTTGTTTGATTTCTGGAAGGTGTTGTTAGCTCTGTTTCGGTCATAGTTTTTGTTGTAAGGCTGAGCTTTACATTGGTTATTGGGGGGGGGGGGGGTTATGGTTCTTCATTTGGGTGATTTCTTATCACCTTTCTATTGTAAATTTGTAATCTCTCTTTTTTCTCTTTTTCATGAAATTTTGTTTTTATTAAAAAAGTTATAAACGGGGTTTGTGATGTATGGTTCTTGTCTTACATGGATACAGAAAATCTTCTATTTCTTTAATTCCAAGATGCCCAGATATGTATAGAACACAGTTATGGCTACGGGAAATGATCATTACACTCCATTCCCCATTATTGTGGTCCATAGTTATATAGATATAAGTTATCCATTTTGATATGTTGATGCAATTCTTTTGTTTATGCTTTTCCTTCCAAGGCAAGTACCATTTTTGGTATTTATATCTTGCCAAATTTCATGAAGTCTCTAATATATGCAACTGATTATGCTTTAGAAATTTCAATGCAGAATCTGGTATGATATCATGTCCGGGTACACTTAGTATGCATACATATCTAGGTACCACAGAATAATTACTTGTTCTTTTATACAGGACTGTTACAAAGCACTATTTTGGAAAGTGTTGGCTGTATCTGGTTCAACCGTACAGAAGCAAAGGATCGTGAAATTGTTGCAAGAAAGTAAGTATTAGGTTCTTGTTGTGAAAGTTTTTCCTGCCTGAGAATACTTTGGAAGCAACACTCAATCCACCATCATCCTTTCACAGGTTAAGAGAACACATTCAAGGAGTTGACAATAATCCTCTTCTCATATTTCCAGAGGGAACCTGCGTAAATAACCACTATACGGTTATGTTTAAGAAGGTTTTCTTATCTTATGTTTCTTTATAAAAGCTTTCACATAAATGCCATAAATTTTGTCTTAATATTTATTAGTCACGTGACAAGAAGCTCCTCCATTTTTTCTCCACCAGTTTGTTCTGCCTTTGCATGTTGAACTCATGTCATGATAGCTATTATTCATTGAAACAGAAGAAACTAGGTTATTTAAGTTTTGGGCATAGGTTATATTTTGAGAAGTTTATTGAGAAAATGACAAAATGCATGTCCAATTGTGCATTCGGTTTTTTTGCTACTTTGTCTAAACTCTCTTATTTATTTATTTTATTGAATATTTGTAGGGTGCATTTGAACTTGGATGCACTGTTTGCCCCATAGCAATCAAGTACAACAAAATTTTCGTTGATGCTTTTTGGAATAGTAAGAAGTAAGAATGTCCTTCAGGAAGCTAATTCAGATATCTACATATCCTATGTTTTTGTTGCATGTATCTGTTTCTCCTGCAAAAATCTTGCCTTTCTAATATGTTTCATCTTTTTTAGTTATGCTTTGAAAAGTCTTAACAGTTTTCTAGAATAGGCCAAATAATTAATGTGTGGCTTTTTTATTATAATCTTTGTTCTCTTAACTCTAAATTTCGCAGGCAATCTTTTACCATGCACTTACTGCGCCTTATGACATCATGGGCTGTTGTTTGTGATGTATGGTACTTGGAGCCGCAAAATCTGAGACCTGGAGAGACACCCATAGAATTTGCAGAGAGGTTAGTTCATGAATGTTTTCTTCTTTTGAAGGCTTAACATGATATTTAAGCATTTCCCTTGATTCTAATGACAGAATTAGTGACTTTCTGTTACTTAAATAAAACAATGATAACTGTCACTGAATTCGTTGCTCATGTTCTGCAGAGTGAGGAACATAATTTCTGTTCGAGCTGGTCTTAAAAAGGTTCCATGGGATGGGTATTTGAAATATTTTCGCCCTAGCCCAAAGCACACAGAGAGGAAGTATGTCTATCTCCTATTCTTATTTTAAAGTCTTAATAGAAGCCACAAATAACACCTTTGCAGTTCTTGTGGTCATCACTTCTGTGGTCACAACCACCTAGTATCATACCACAAACCTTCTATTCTTAATCATAGTTCACAGGAGTAAAACCCAACCTAAGGCTAATTATTATTTTTTTTTTTTATCAATAACACTTTCATTAATTCATCAGTAGAAAATTTACAAGTGGAAGACAAACACACTTATCTTCCAAG